TCCTGCTGTGTTTCTTCCGCCTTTGAAGTCCATGGACCTAAACGTATAGCAGTGGAAGGAGAAAGAGAGAGAGAATAAGACTAAGGTTTTGGTACTGTGGAAGACACAAATGATGCTACTGACGACTATCACTAACACTGAGTGTACAGTACAGAGCTCTGCAGAGTGTCTGTGGTGAGGGGAAGCACTGCAAGGAGAGCATGTGTTAGACCCACCAGCACTCTGCAAGTTTGGAGCTCTCTATTAGGTCTTGGTGAGGCTGGGGACCATTGCAGAAAAGTAGTATGAGGATAATATCTGTGTTTTATTCAATCTGTGATCCATCATCTGCTGTGAAACAGTCCCAGTATGGATTCTAGGAAATGAGTTAGAATATTTTGTATAGCTGATAGCAGTAACAGTAATTTACCTAGTGCTTTTTATCATGAGATCCTGGAGCCAGGATCACAAGTATTCCCTAGCAGGGCTGGAGCTGCTAGATCAGTCGTGTTCAATTCCTTTTGGGTTGTAGAAGCAGTTTCCCAGTAGAGGTGGTGATCCCTTCATAGTCAGTTTAAATCTGTTAAGGTTTTACTCTTTTCATCGTCTTTCACAGTTCCTTCACAGACATGGTGCATGAAACAGCCAGGAACCTGCAGTCTATAAGGCTGAAAAAGGCAAGGGAAAATAAGGAATAAAAATTGTTTCAGAGATAGCTGGTACCATTTGTTCACTTCTGTTCTTCTGGAATGGGAGCTTGAACAGACAATGCAAAAACCACCATTTTGAGAAAAGGAAAAGTTTATTAGTTCATGTATAAATGGGAAGAGTTTCTATAATACATTGTTATAAATATTTATAAATATTTTGTGGGACTTGCAACCCACTCAAATAAATAAATAAATATTGCAATATAAAAAAGTAATGCTTTCTTAATAGCTGACGATGGCCAGCATCTCCTTTGAAGAATTAATTCTTTCTACATTTCACTCCAGCTCTCTATGGTTACAAATACATTTTTGAGTCAAATCGCATTATGCATTCACTCTTAGCATAAGGACTAAATCTCCTGGTTACTGGTGGAGAATAACATACTGAAGTGAGCAACCCTTCTTACTTTGTTCTGATGTGTGAGTATAGAAATGGCATAGAGATGTAATCCCACAGCCATGTCTTACCAAAGCATAATATGAACTGGGACGGAAATTTTCCTGCTTTCAACTGTTGTAGCTTTGTTGACTCCAACTCCCAGAGACCTCTGTGGAGCTTAGAACAACTAAATTAAAATTTTGCTCTTATAATTATAGTCAGGAGAAGAATGGTATAGGAACCAAGTAAAATTGTTAAAATTAAACACAAATAAAATTGTGCCTGTCCACTTTATAGACAACACGGTAAGAAGTCTTGCAAAATTTTGAATAAGCAAGAAAACACACAACTATTCCCCCTCAAACTGTCCTAAATCTGTTAGAGTCACTTCTTTCCTCTTGAGGCTAATTATGTTTATTATGAGTTCAAAGGATGAAAAATAATAAATTATTAGACAGAAATCTTAGTCTAATCCTAATCATTTGGCTTGTCCTGTGCTCTTACATACTCCTATGAACTGAGAATCACTCCATGTGGAGAAAAATATTCTTACAGCAGAATAAGGCCCTATGACTATTCTAACAAAATTACTTGAATGTTGTCAATAAATAGATATTATTTGTAAATAGAGGAAAAAAAAAATTTAAATTCTGTCAGCAGGACAGGCCTTGAGCTAAATGCTGACAAATTTCCATGAAAGCAAGGAACACAATGGGCCTTATTTTGATCTTCTTACCCTGCTGCAGTTCCGGTGGCTTCAGTGATTTACTTCACTAGACAATAACAAGGACAGGACCAGAATCTAGCTTATTGTTTTTTATATTATTGCTATGGACACACTTAGGCAAAATATAGCATTTTCAGACTGTTGTTAAATATATTAAATAAATAAAATAGGTAAATTTACATCTTGAGAAAAAATGCTTGCACATCAAAATAAAATCCCTTATTATATATCCACCACACTGGAAGTTTCTGCAGTTTATCAGTACCTTGCTGTTAATTTCTGCTGGAGTACATCAAGATTAACCTTTAAAACTGCACAGATTTAACATTCAAGGAAGGTGAGATCATATTTAAAAGAAAAATATGAGGAAAATAGCTAAATATGTACACAATTTTCAGAGAGCTAGTGGAAACAAATATAACTCTATTAAAACCAATGAAGCTATGCTGAATTCCACCAGCTAACGATTTGACACCTAAATTACAGTGAAAAGCTCTGCTCTGCAGATATTCTCATTTTAACTAAAGATTTGTAAACTTCAGATGCATCTATGGAGGTTAGATTCCAAACTTATCCATAACATAGACCAATCTGGATGTCTAAGGAAAAGGCTTTGTCAATATTTAGAGATCTTATGATGAAATTAAAGTAATTTACTCTTACAAGTATAAATCATCTGATACCTACTCAGAACTAAATAGAAACAGTGATACTAAACTTGGACCCTCCTTTTCTAAATACATACTTCATTTTTACTCATCATAGGAGAATATGCACTAGCTATGAGTAATTTGAAGCCTTTGGGGCATGACTGATTGGGAATTATTTTTCCTAGCAGAGTTCAGCAGCATGCAAAATAAATTAACCTATCTGATACTATTAATTATTAGTACTCCTGGTACTTCTCTCTGTGTTGGAAATACATAAAAATAATATTTTTACATTATATTTCTATATTTTGACCCTAGAATTAAGTGAATATAGAAGTGTGATAGAGAAAGAATTGAAAGAACTTTGGGACTCTACTTGTTTTTTTCCAGACCTCAGCTTGGATTCAATAGGAGTCAGAACTGACTCTTTCTATGCAAGACCATTTGATCCCTGTTCTCTTGCCAGTTATTCCAATTTTCCATGTGCGCAGATCCTTTAACAACAGAGCAGTTGCTTTTTGGCTTCTATGGGTGTGAAAAGAGACTATAGCTCCAATCCTACCAGCTAAAACCATATACAATAAAGTTATTTTAATCATATAACACACCAGCAGACATTTTTTATGCTGAACTTGCACCGCCTGCTGTTGTGCTAATTAGAGGACTCCCTGCTTCTACTGGAATGAAGGCTGCAGAGCCCAAGTCTCTTTCCAGCTACACCAGTAATGTAACATTTGTTTCTTATTTTTCATTCAAGTGAGTTCTGTCCACTGACGCAAACTAAAGGTGATTCAAACCCCCAAAAGTTTGGTTTGTATTATTCTTTTTGCAGATATTTCTTTTTTCCAATAGCGTAGAGCCCCACCTGGAAAATATATGATTTGTTTTTTTCAGTGAACTGTCATCTCTAAGGGTGCGATTTGAAATTCAGGTTTTTTTCCATTGTCTTTCAGGTTTCTAGTAGCCATTCTGAAAGTTGGAAATTGAATCAAGTATGCTAGCCAGTTCTTCTCATCTATCACATTCATCCATTATTTCAATTTGCAAGTGGTGTGGCCCCATTATCTTGTAATATAGAAGCGAGGGCTCACATGCCTCCTGGCATCCATCATAGCGTGTGGGTCATCTGGGTTGACCACATCATTCTGATTGATTCTCATGGGTTCTCTGGGCACGTGGGAAAAGTCTGCTTGCAGCTGCAGCTGGGATCCTAATGCGGAGACCTTTCTCTGGGGCACCAGGATCTGGTGAGGATCCATTGGATCGACATCTGCACTTCTAGTGTTTCTGTGGGGCTCAGGTGTGTTGAATCGGAATAAAGGAATTTCATTTCTCCTGGACAGGAACTGGGAATATGGTGGTGGATTCATACCAGGGAAGAAAGCTTGTTTAACTCTGCCTAAGCTAACCAGGAAGTTGTATTTAGGAGACTGGTACACATCGTATCCATTTTCCAGGGTTCTGTGTTTGAACACGCAGTCTTCTTGGCTGAAGTAATGCTTAAGGAAAAAAATGACAGCTGTGAGCAGAGAGATTTGGTGATTAAAGAGTGCCAATTAAAAACAGAAAGAAGAATGAGATCTTGCAGCAGGTATCTTTCTGATCCCCTAGCTCTGCAGTAACAACTGAGACAAGGCTTAGTAAACTGTAGACTAATATATATGCCCATATTTACAGCAAAGGTATTTTTGGGCTAACACTGCTTTATCTGAGAGGATTGTATTGTCTGAGCTATTTCCAAGCCACGACTATAGACTACAGCAAGAATTCAGGTTGATCCACCATTAGATTTCATTCTGGCCTCATTTAGCCCAGCAGGACTTGCACGACTTCTGTCAGCTCTATGATTCAATACGATTGACAAGAAGAGGAAAGTTTAACCTACGTGTCAGGTTCTCAGCTGGCTTAAATCTGCCTCCTCCGTCACTGCCTCTGGCTACAGAGATTTGTCCTAGCTGAGGAAATTGGCCCTATGGTAAGAACAGCAGGCTGCAGCTGCCTCAGTCTTGAGTCTTAGCAAAGGTCACTCACCGATCCAAAAATGTTTCCTTTCATGTCCATGCATAGGTAGCGTCCACTCTTCACTCCAGTGATTATTACATAGCTAGCACCCTCGGATTTGATCATTAGAGCACCTATTTAGAAAAACAAAGATATCAAATCCAGGACACAGTTCTGCACTGGATTGTTGCCTCACCGATCCACAAAAGTGCTGACTGGAAGGGCCATCCCGGGGGTCTTTGGGCCACCATTCCACTCAAATGTGGACAAATGTGCTGTTGGCTCACATTTGGCTTGGTGCCCCTGTAACCCTCAGGACCTGTCCAGCAGGGCTCTGTCTGTGCAGTGAGGCTGCTCCAGCCTGTACCACCACCAGGGGTTATTTCAGCCCTGGTGCAGAACTTTGCACTTCTCATGTGTCTGGTGTCTCAGCAGGACTGTGGTGACCTGGTTCAGTTATTTTGCTTTCACAGCCCCTTTCCTTGTCTTATCTCACACTTTCTGCTCTACCATTTCAACTACCTGTACACTTGCTTCATGACAGATTGGCAAAGCATGGTATTTTGTTGGCTGTGATTCTCTACACCATCACACTGGTTCTTGACCAACACGACTGAATTTTTTAGACCCTACTAATATATTTGAAGAATAATAACAAGAGGATGCAGCCTTTCTACAAGTGTTTTATCCATAATTCATAAAAAAATAGCAGAACTTGATCATTTTTTCTCCTTAATTAAATTATAACCTTTTTAAAAGTCTTTTGTTCCTCATACACTCATACACAGGTATCTCTGGATATGCTTATATTTTTAGTTGAGTAGTTGAAGAAGATGCTACACAGTAGTAATAATTAAAATTACTTTCTGATTTATTGTTACTTGTGATCATTTTTCTACTAGTTATGGTGTTTGGGCTAGGTATGCAACAAAGAAAGGAGGATACCCCAGTTTTCCAAGAAAATAGATGAGGATGAGACAATTTGGGAGCCACACCTGCACTCCGAAGGCTTAGCACTTCATTTATGAGAGTCTGACATTTTGCGGTTTCTCCCAGTTTAATCAACCTTTGCATATTCAGTGAGCCACGTTCTATGCACAGTTGTGTTTCTACCAGGCAGTACATTAAAGGCACAAATCTGAAGCTTGTCTCACAAACTAATTTTCGATTCAGAGAAGTATTGGTGTACTCAAAAGGAAATGACCAACTGTACTGATGTAGTTGCCTACAGATATTTTTCAGCTCTCTACCCAAAAGTAAAGGTTTTATGGACAAAACCAGTTTTCCAGCACTTGTGTGGTGAGTTCACTCAGTATACTTCTTTTGCAGATGTTATCAATGGAATAAGAAGGAGATACTTGGGACATGTCATCACCAATCTCTCATTGGAACTTCCACAAGAAGCTGTGGGTAAAATCATGAAGTGAAGGATAATTTTGGTAGTTTTTGCTTGCAGAGTATCACAGGAATCACATAACTTACTGTAAAGGTGAAGAATCAGAATTCCTATCTGCTAGATTTCTTTGAAGCAATTTTGTTTATTTGTTAAACAAAAGGAATATTACAATTATGTGTATTTTCCATCTCGCAGCTGTCTGCCTGCCAACCAGGAGGATGGAAATTGCTATAGCTAGTAAGAAGGCAAAAAAAGACCATTGTCCTCTCTTCCCTGCTCAAATGAAGACCGGGGGTCCATAATGAGCTACTTACTGTAAATGGTTTGGTGCGGGACACCGTCAACGTAGCCATCAGCGTTGATTTGGAGGTGGAAGCTGTTCCTCTCCGTAGCTGTGTACAGGTGCATCAGGCGATCTGCACTCCCCCAGCTGGGATTCAGCAGTGGAGAGGAGTTGGGAAAGGCAGCGGTAGCCTTCAGGCTGCAGAGCACCAGCAGCATGCACCCTAAGCAGCTGTAGGGAACGGCCTGTGGCATGGCTCTCTGTCCTTAGTGGCTAGTCTGTACCTGAAACTTGATACTCCTCTTTGCTTCTCTCTTTCCCTGGTTTGACTGCGTTTGGAGTATGAATCTTCAGATGGGCTCCTTTCTTCTTTGCAGAGGCTTATAAAGGGTAGCCAAGTGACATCACACAGGAAAAACTTCTCCACATCCTTGATTTTTGTCAAAGCAACATTTTAAGTGGCCCGAAACCTCAAGGGAAGGAAAGCACGTAGGTTCTCTGGCTAAGGTGTGGGGGGGGAGCAAATGTAAGGTTTCTAAAGACAGCTCACAAAAGCTAATCATATGTTCAAATGTTATCTACAAGCCTGTGACATCTGAGAGCTTCCCACGCCCCTACTGTTAAATCCAGGAAGAGCAGTCTACTGTGCTACATAGAAAGCCTTTTGGGAGGGGAAGGGAACGAACCTTTAGACTTTGAACTTTTTCTCAGATATGTTTGTTCAGATTCCCACCTTCCCCTTGGTTTTCCAAACCACATTCTAATTTCACAGAAGCACCAAATACTGCTAAAATTTTTGAAGATGTGTCAGAAGCTGGTATTAGGTTAATCTGGGCCTGATTCCCCATTCATAGTGATGTAAATCCAGCAGTGAGCCTGTTGGACCGAAATTTATGTCACCTCCTTTAAGCAAGAGAAGCTTGATATGAGCGCAGCCCTCTTGAAATAAGCTCTCCCTTTTATTTCTTCTGATATCTTGAGTTACCTAAATAATTTGAAGTTGGCCAGTCAGCTGAAAATTACCTGTAAGATGCTTAGAAGCTGCATATTTGTTGCTGTACTGTAAGTCTAGGTGGCAATCATGTAAGGAGTCATATATGTTAGCATGGCTAGTAGATCTAGGACCCACATCAAAACAGAAATAGCTCATCTTGGCACATTTTTTTACTTGAGGTATAGCAAGCACACTTGGAAGAACTACAAAAGAACATGACCAAACTGAAAAGTAATAACTGCAAAGCAATGTTCAAAAATGGCTTAAGATATGATACCCACATTTTAGTTGTCCTGCCGAATTCTGTGGTTTTACAAATTTCCCAATTAAAAAAATGCTTCCATTTTCATTATGAAAATGCTGTATTAATGGGAGAGTGGTTATGTAGGTGAAATGATGATGATGATGATGATGATGACGACAACGGGTTATGAAACTAGGCTTTACTAAAGTTTCTTTCAAAAATGAATATAAAACTGAAGAGAATACTGAAAACTAAGTCAATCACTTTTTTAAAAAAAATAAATTTGAGGTTTTTGTTTGTAGCAGTCTTAGGTCCAGTACTTTCAAGCAATATACAAATAAGTTAGTCTCTAGTTGGACACAAGGTGTCAGATTCTCAGTTTCCTTAGTGAGCTGTGGAGCAGTGCCACGAGCACCATGCATATTACAGATTTTTACAACTGTATTCAACTGCAAAAGCTGATCTGATTTTTTTTTATCGTTTAAAATTAGCAAAACTCTGCCAATTTCTTCTGACATCTGTGTAAATCTAAAGGCTTACGTCAGTGTGTATACACCTGTGTAAATGACAGCAATTTTATGCAAAGTGCACTGGGGTCATATCTTAAATGGAGTAGATTAACAAAGTTGACTTCACTGAGAGGCAATTAAGGCTACAAATGTTTTACTGGGTGTAACATCTGAATGTCTTAATTTAAAAGCTAGTTTGGAAGGAAAGGATGAATATTATTTCTTTTCTTTTCTAAGTGATGTATCTACCTTAGTACTGAAATTATTCATTCATTTTTTTCAGTCTGGTATTAGAATCCAAGGATTTCTAAAATTTTTTTGGTCTTTTACTCCCTTTCATTCAGACTAGTGTGGAAATATGGATGGGGATACCTCAGAAGCAGTTGCAAAAGTTTCCACAAGAGAGTCATATACAGGATAGATTGTCTTCTTGGAAGTTTTTGTGATCTTTTTGTAAGTGGAGTTTTTCTGGTGTGATATTTCATATTCATCATGATTTTTGTCTGTGCTTACCTTTATGCGCTGATCTGATTTCTCTCTGGTGTCTTAGCTGCAGAGAAACAGTTCTCATGTTTCTGAAAAATGTATTCAATCATCTCGGCACATGCCAGTTGTGACCAGCCATTTCTCTTTTTTTATATATGGCAGACAAGCAGACTATTTTCAGGTGCTTAAATTGTTTGGCATTTTCAAGTTTCTCATGGGGTCAGTAGCACTCCAGGCTTTGCTGAGTTGTGTTTGTTTAAGCTGACAGGCTAAAGCAAATTTATTTAAGTTTCTGCTTGTCAGGATGGTAATTCAAATTTTGCCTTTTAATGCACATTTTTACTTTAATTCTATATGCAAATTGGTGATGCTTTTTTAACAGTCCATTTCGTTTTTGTTCCCGGTTGATCCATTTATTCCTTCTGTGGGTATGCCACTTAACTTCTCCTACCCATTCAGCTGTTGCTGAAGTAACCAAGCAGATGAAAGCTTGCTTACTTGTTCAGCTCTCTAAGTTAGCCTAATGAAAGCGATTAAAACCTTATTCCTCTTATATCCTTATGCTGTTGCATCAGTAGCAATAATATTTTCATAACTTTTACCATATATGTTGATATTTCTTTTTTGTCTATACTGTTTTCAGATGTTTGACCAATCAAGACAGCTTTTCTAGGTGTCTCCTGTACCTAAAGAATTAGGTGCAGCATCTTGTAGAGGGAAAAAAAAAAAACTGAATTTGAAGACCAAAAATGTCTAATCAACCTCAGAATTGCTATTCTTCTTTAAATACATCCTTAATTCAAATAAATAATTCAGGGAAGCAGGTTGGTCCCTGCTATGTGGAGCCTCTTGAGCAGACAGGAGGCAAGGTGAGTGCCATGAGGACAGCAGCTGAAATACACATGGATCTTGAGGCATGCTGGTGGAAAAGGGAAGGACTGCTGTGTCCTTTAGCAAGGGAGACCGAATACAGACCTTTCTGCCATCAGGGTGGCCACATTTCCCTCTTCCCACCTCAGAAACATGGCACAGCTGGGGTCGGGTGACACAGGACACAGGACTCTGCAGGACTACCTGCAAAGGTAGCGGTAATCACTGACAGCCCAAAGGCAGCACTGAGGGTGGATGCTGTCACCAGCAATGAACAATAAGGAAAGTCTCCCTTAACCGCATTGCTGAAGAGGAAGGGATGGATCAGACCACTTTGCAGTTGAAATGTATGTGAGAAAACGATTGATGCTCTGCACCTTCCCAGGCTGTTTCCCTCCTCCCCTGCCGGGCCATCACCCCTTACCTGCTCCTACCGACTCTGTCCTCTTTGCTTTGGAGGTAGCAGAGGTCTGGCAGGGTTGGTGGATCTGGGAGCTGGGCATCAGTGGTGATAGGCTCATGCCTCATCACTGGGGCCTACCACGTGGGCTGCAAGTGCTAATCCAGAGCACACAATGACCAGCGGACACAAAATACCAAGTATCTATAAGTGAACATAATCATTTTCTGTGTCCAATGAGACAAATATGTGGTGGGAAGTTTTGTAATTTAATTAAATATGAACATTTAACTAAAAATTATACCCAGAACTATACACAAGGGAACTGAGTTAAGGTAACAGGAGCCTGAGCTCTGAATTCCCACATTTTGAGCACTTTGCATTTCAGCCTCAGGTCATTTTTGATCATAACTTATGATTTCAAATCTGTCAAACCCTGAGCTTGGCAGCTGCTCACCTTCCCTTGTGCAACTGCTAACAAGATAACTCCCTTCTTTCGTTGCTTATCACTTCAGTCAGCTACAGGGGACTTACAGGGCAAGTGCAAACTTTTTGAACACGTATAAGTTACTACAAGAAATTCACTCTTACTTACCTTTTGCAGGCTCTTTAAAAGTGCTTTATGCACCATCAAAAATTTGCAGGTTAAAAAATGAGTTTCCTGCTTAGTATAATGAGGTTACTTTCCAGGTCCTCTTATGAATAAAAATACGTGTCTCCTCACAGTGTTTGACTACCTTTCAACATGTAGACACACGTGTAGGGTTGTTGCTTAATAAAGCATGCTGACCTATATTTAAACAGGTGTGTGGCTTGTCATTTTGCAGAACCCTGTTCTGGCTGAGGGCAGGGAGATGTTCACCAGTCTGTCCCCGGGGCTGGCAGCCATGTGAGGATGGGGAAGAATTGCCCCTTCTGTTCCCAGGTAGCTGGGATGACCCTCAGAAAGCCTTCTGCTTTTTGCTATTTCAAAGATCGCAAGGGAATTTGGCTTGACAAATCTGAAACTGCCTCTTTTTTTCACGCTTTTCTCTGCACTGCATCTCTTCTAAGAGGTCAGAGATTCAGGGACACTTCTCCCTTCTTCCCTCCTCCTTAAAATCACTATAATGACTCTGGGACAATCACATCTTCGATGTTGGAAGTACAAGGGTGGAGTGCCTCTCTAGTAGTTATTCTTGGAATAATGACACACCAGGACAGCGGTGTGTACTGTGGATGCCCTGTGTGCATGTGTGTGCATGAACCTTTGCCACAGACTTTACCCAGTGTTGTTAAACACATCCTGAGTGACCTTATTTGGATGTCCCATCCTTGTCACGCTGCCCACGACTAAAGCAAACATCCTGGCTAGGCTCACCTACGTGAAACAAATGAAGTAAGCACAACCCACTGCATCTGGGACCGCAGCATGCACTAGCGATTTCTGCAGTGTGCTTGCCAAATGTATGGTCTTGGCTCTTCTATTTTTTCCCCCTCACCTTTTCTCCATGTAGTAGATGTTTTGGAAAGCCATTTCCAGTTTTAAAAGTGCTAAGTCACCTGTGCAGGCAGACAGTGAATATTGCTGGAGTATCTCTTGGACACCTATCCCTGCATTATGCAGGACATACATACAGTCTTTCTGAGAAGTGCTTGTCTTTTCTTCTTGGGATTTTTATTTCCAGACAGATGGAAGACTGGAAGAAGCTTTCCACTCTGGTTTGCCATTCCTAAAAAGGAGCAGCTTTTTACCAGTGGCTTTAGAGACTATGGGCTTTCAAAATTTAACACAGCAAAGACGGACACCAACAGAAAGCCGCAACACTGCATGGCACTCTGAGGAGGAAGCAGGTGGATCAGGCTTCCCTCCTTGTAAGTGTCTAAGAAGGGCCTTGATGATGATGCTCACGTTATTTTGCTCTAACCAGCTGAAATGAAGGGCCCTGTTCCTTCTCTAGCTGAAAGCACTGTCAGAGCTCCCAGGCAGAGCAGGACCAGTTCCTGAAAGGCTGTATTTTTTGAACAGAGACTGTTTTCATTGTTTTAAGGGCTCTGAATTTTCATAGGTGATGTGGAATAGAGAATGGTCACAACCTGTGATGGGAGCTGCTGATACTTTTCATTGCCAAGGAAATGCTTTTTGGAGGGTCCCCAGCTGTAGTGCCCATTCCTTGGGGGACAGGAAGCCCCCTTGACTGGGGAGGAGCTGCTTGTCCTGCAGCTCAGGTCAGTAACTGGACACAGTCAGCCCTGTGAATCAGCTCATAGACTTGGTGATGGGTAGATAAGAGGAAGTATGTGGACCTGGGATGACAGAAATGAGAAGAGCTGGGTCCCAGCCTACGTATATGCGGGAGGCAAGTGGTCAAGGCAGGAGGTGGAGCTGTGAAAGGATACACCAAGAAAGTGAAGGAAGAGGGCACAAAATGGACCTCTCCATCTGTGACTGGGAGAGCTGCTGCAGCTTGTACACAAGAAAACTTTGAGGTAGTCTGATTGAAGGCCACAAATGGCTGAACCAAGCTCCCTTTCTCAGTATCTTCTGGTATTAAGTTCTTCAGATAATCTGTGGCTTTAAAAATACATATATTTAAAATATATATATTTTATTTTTTCTATATATAACTTGTAATTTCATATAATGTACCATAAGAGTGAATGAGAGTTTCAAGCTAATTCTGTTCCTACACATTTACTTCTATCAGCTCTCAGATTTTTTCCCCTCAAAATTAGACACCCAGGTCAGTCTGATCTCTCAAATGGAGGTCTCTGCACACTTTCACTGAAAGTCTTTCATTGTTCCTGCTACTGCCAGGATCCTAGTCTGAACACTTTGATTCAGTTCAGTTCACTCTGTATAACAAAATCCACATGTCCAACAGTAAGGACCTGTAGCATTTGCCCATCCCTTGTTTCACTGTATGACCTTTCCTCCCTACACTGTTTTCCCCATTGTTTCCTATATACTCTAATGCCGCTTAACTTAACACGCTTGCATAGCTTATCACATGAGGCAGTAATACTCAGCTGAAGAAGCCTGAGCATTCTAAAGTCCCGATCAGATTTTGAGCTGAGCCAGCAAAGAGTGGAAAACTAGCTTACCTGAGAAATTAAATAGACTACGTTACTTTTACTCCTGAAAGTTTGAAGTGAATTATGGACTACACACTTTCACTACAGGAAAACCAGCAGAGGTCACTCTAGGACATAAGACTTAGCCCACCACAGCTGGCGAGGAAACTGTAGGGCATGCTGAGATGTGAGAAGCATTTGAAGAAATAATAAACTTGTGCTGGGGAAGAGCAAGCATGATTCTGAGCAGCTGCTAACACTGAAAGAGTCAATAAGATGCTGCAATGTATGTGTGTGTGCTTGTGTGCATTTCTAACCAGTAAGATAACTTAATCATCTCCCTTTCTTGTCTAGGATAGGGAAGCCAAAAGGCAAACAGCAGCTTCAGAAGGACTCCTTTTTGCTACATTATAGGTTAAAGGCTGGCACTCAGCTGTTTGTAAGGCATTTCAGAGTGTTTTGCCCCCATAGGTTCTGCTGTCTTTCAGTCCTTTTCAGTTCTTGTTCAGTCTAGAAACAAAATCAATATAATAAATAGAAATGTGCCTTTGGGGAACCCTCCTTTTCCTGGGTCATTTTTTTCAGACTTGAAACAGTAGCATTTGGTTATCCAAGGTTAAAGGAGACTTATATTTCTTGATGCTGTTATGTTGTTTAACATTTGACTGAGGCCACAGAAAAGAAGTGTGTAAGAGAACGATTCAAAGGATAGGACAGTGGGAAGTGCTGTAGCAGAGCCAGTATTTTCAAATTCTAGAGCCTTAACACTGAAACAGAGAGGTATGTATTACCACTTAATCAGTGGAATACAAGTTCAGTTGATGAAGGATGCTATGGAAAAGCAAATGGAAAAAAAAGAATTAGAATTTAGCAAAGAGAGGATCCCAGCACAGCATCTGAGGAGATGTAGTGACCAATATGGAGAGAGAACTCATCTTTCCAGTTTTATATACTTTAGAAGTGTAGCTCTGGAAGGAATGGTTACAGATCAATTCTTTGAGATAATACAGTAGGGTGAAGACAAATGGTTGGTTGAAGAGAGTTCCTGAGCTATAGGATAGAAGGGAGTTGCTTTGGATTTGTGCAAGTGTCTGGAGGAAGCAATGGCAGAAGATAGGAGGCTAGGCACATCATCAGCAGAACCGTGAAATCTTCCGCAGAGGATGATCTCTTAATGAGAAATGAGATGGGAAAGAGGAGCTGGACTTTGTGAGGTCTTAGGATGGTTACAAATTATCTTTCTCTGTTTTTATTTAGGTTGCTCTGGACCTCTTGTCATCCGTGCTTAAAGCAGAGCTAACCTCAAAGCTAGATCAGGTTGCTCAGAGCCTTGTCCAGTCAAGTTTTAGAAATCTCCAAGCATGTTCATTGTCATGTCCCTACATCATACTCTGTCTGGTGTCCTGCATATCTCCTTTTGGTTGCTCAAGGTTCTTTTTCTTCAGAAGATCTTTAATTTTTTCCCGTGGTTCCCTTCCAAGATTTCCAATGTCTATAGCTATAACAAACTCAGTCCCGTTGCCTCCTACCTCCTCCTTAGAAAAGATTGTCATAAATGAGATATCCTTCAGCAAGAATGGAAAAAAGGGATCTCCTTGTTTGGGTGTGAAGCTAATTGGAACGAAAGCTACTTGAAGATATCTCATGACAGCTGCTGGATACTTCTTTTGAAGTGTGAACTCCTTGTCTCTTGTAAAAGCCTGTAGGGATTGCTAGCATTTAGATTGGAGCCCAATGTTGTAAAACATAGTTTGCTAGCATGGCCAAGTTTATGTGGTCTGTAAAGGCCTGATTTCTCAGCTGCAGTGCAAGTTTACTCTTGCAAAATGTAAGCTCTTACGTAGAGCATGCAGGAGTAGTGGAGATGGCAGCCTTAGAGGTCAAAGTACCCATTTGAAAAGACACTTTTTTTAAAACAATGATTTTCTTGTTTTATGTTTCCAAATCTATTTTTGCAAAGAAAAATTCAGTACACTATTCACACCTCTTAGGTCTTGAACTTTCCAGCAATAATATTGGATCTAAAGATAACTGGAAATATTGTCTAGGCAGTCTGATCTCACTAGTTTATCTCCAAAGCTTTGTGCCCGCATTTTAATGATTATACAAGTTGTTATTTTCTTTTCTAAAGAAATAATATTTTACAAATGGATTTCTCTAGCATCAGATTGGTTTCAGATGCAAAGAAACAAACAAAAGCCTCTCAAAATTTAAAAGACACACTGAAATTGCAATAGATCTTGATAAAAAGATTTGAAAAGTAACTATAAAGCATTTCTGAGTAGTGTTTGCAAACCAACAGAGTGACATTATATTAATGAATGGCCCTGAAAAAAAGGAGGAATCAAAACTAAATAAAAGAGGAACAGAACATGCAATAAACTTTTTACCTTGGTTACATTAAAAAAGAAAAGAAAAAAAGTGAATGAATTAGTTTCCAATTATCTCCACGGATAGTGCTTTGTTTCAAATGGTCTGCTCTAATAGCCCTCTGTAACATCCAGTTCCTGTACAAAAACTGCACATTAAATATCTATTAAGGTTGAGGGTAGGTACCAGTAATTTAGGGTAAAATATATTACTTATGTATTGCATTGTGTAAGTGTTTTAAACTCAGAAATTTGAAAACTGAGATTAAACATACCTTAACATGGCTTTTAATTGCCACATGTTGTAGAAATGTAGAATTGTAGCATACAAAAAATGTGCCTGTGCACACGAGCCAC